ATTATTATTATTGAGAGACAGGCTCACTGTCTGTTCCTCAGGCTGGGACAGGAGATCATGTCATGGACGGCCCCCCTCTCCTCTTCTGTCTGTCTCCCGGGATCACTCTTTCCCTCTCTCTTCCAGCACCACAGAGGCGGAGCTGCTCGGCCTGTGGCGCTGCACTCTGTCCGCGCGGTTCAATGACCTCTCTTCCCTTCTCCCGCCAGTGACACGGAGGCGCAGTGTGAGGTGATGCAGGAGATTGTGGACCTGATTCTGGAGGTGAGTGGCTCTTGGGCGCTCCGGTCCGGCGGTCTGCATGCGTTGGCGGATCTGCTGTGGGTCGTCCCGTGAGAGGGCGCAGGTTCATAGTCGCGATGCTGGTCGAGATCTTTCACTGCAAGATCGACTGCCGTTCTCTCTCCCGCCCTCTCGCTGTCCCAGGAGGATTTTGACTCGGAGCAGATGTCCGCTCTGGCCTCCTGCCTGGCTGAGCTGTTTAAGGGGCACTTCAGGGGAGACGTCCTGCCAGAGGAGATCACAGAGGAGTGAGTCTGTCTGTGCTCATCTGTCTCTCTCTCTCTCTATCCTGCTGCCTTCCTGACTGCCTGTGTGTCTCTCTCACTCTCTCTGGCCTGCTGCCTTCCTGACTGCCTGTCTGTCTCTCTCACTCTCCCTGGCCTGCTGCCTTCCTGCCTGTCTGTCTCTCTCTGTCTGTCCCTCTTGTTGTCTTGCTCTCTCGGTCACGCTGCCCCTTGGTCTCTCTCTGACTGTAACCTGTCTGTCTCTCTGGCGGTCTGCAGGTCTCTGGAGGAGTCGGTGTGCAAGCCTGTCTGTCTCATTTTCAGGTGAGCCCGTGGGGTGGCTGTCCCGCCATCTTGTTCGTTATGTTAATGAGTTAATTGATGGGCTGGCGGGGTCCCAGGTTATGCTCTAACCCCCCATGTCTGCACTGCCATGGCCCTCAGGAACCTGTGTCAGATGCAGGAGGACAACAGCGGCTTCTCCGTGCTGCTGGACATGCTGGCCGAGCTGTACCAGAAACAGCCCAAGATCGGCTACCACCTGCTGTACTACCTCAAGGCCAGGTCAGCGCAGTCAGCTCCGCTCACGTCCACCCCCTGCCCCGTCCGGTCCGGTTCTGAGCCGGGTTCTGAGGCGGTATGGGTCCTCTCTCCCCGCAGCAAGGCCGCGGTCGGGCGGATGAGTCTGTACGAGTCCTTCGCTCAGGCCACCGCGCTGGGAGACCTGCACACCTGCCTGATGATGGACATGAAGGCCTGTCAGGAGGACGACATCCGACTGCTGTGTTACCTCACCCCCTCCATCTACAGCGAGGTCTGTCTCTCTGTCTCTCTGTCTCTCTGTCTCTCTGTCTCTCT